TATGTGCAGACGCTGAGGACATCTGTACCCCCGGATTTGCTTTGGCTTCCCTTGCCTTCTGGCTGGTACACACCAGATCACTGCAACCCAAATGTGCCCGCAGCCCACAGCACAGTATGTACATCGATCTCCTCTCCCCTCTCCGCAGGGCCTGCAACATGAGCATCCCTGACTACGTGCGGTGTGCTGAGGACTATGAGACTCTTCCCGTTGTGGTCCAACCTGTGGGGATCATCTCAGAGGAGAATTTCTTTTGCATCTATAAGCGAACCTCCTCGGTGAGCCAGATCAGCCCGTGCGGCTCCCAGTGGGCACTCTGTATCCACTACAGACACCACTATGCGCCCGAGAGTGGGTGGAGCGGCTTCCAGACCCACTGCAAGGTCGTGGGCCCTGTCACCATTACCGACTGCCTCTCTGCCAAGGCCTTCTAGAAGCTCCATGTGCAGAGGAGCTGTATGGCACTGCGCTTAATGACTCTCAGCTCTTTGTCTTTGTGCTGTATGGGGAGGTGGCCGAGCAGCCGCGCAGCAACGTGTCCTTCAATCTACGAGGACTGCAGGGTGGTGGAGAAGAGGATTGAGGACTTCACTGAGTCATTCTTCATCTTGCCCAAGTCCAAGTGGCTGGATGCAGCCCCCAACAAGTCTGGGGACAAGATCGCCCTCCGCTGCATTCTGTTTGAGAAGGAGGACAACATGGGACTGGACACAGACAGCAGGTAAGTTTCCCTGGAGGCCAGTCCACCCTGGCTGTGTTCCGGGATTCTTCCCTACATCCAGAAAGGGATCAGCAAGGAAGAGGACTGTGTTGTAGCCAAGGTGGAGGGAGGTGAAGCCCACCGGTTTACAGACATTTAAAAGTGATTCTGCCTCTGTTTCAGAGAGATCCTTTTAGGGTTAATGTGGACACTTCCTCCCGCTTTTCAGCCAGGACCATGGTGGGACACCTTGAGTCACTGTCCAATAGAGTAGCCACAGCCACTGATGCTAGGAGCACTGGGGAGGAGGCTGGTCTGAGCTGAGATGTGCTGTAGGTCAAATGCACATTAGACGCTGAGG